GAAAAGCTTTGAATGGATATAAATTCAGTGAAAACAATAATACAGAGAATAAAATTAAATAACTTAAACACCAGGGATTCTTTTATTTTCCAGTCTTAACAATTTTTTGTTTTATGATTATTGCAAAACAGATCCCTTTTGTAGACGCCATCAAGAAAGAAACACAAACAATAATAATTTATCAAACAAACAATTACATAATAGAAATACTACCAGTCTTTCAAACATTGAATTAGCTTGAAAATATTTTTTACCTCATAGTCAAGTGTAAAAATCGTAGCGAAAAATATGTCTTAAAGATTTTTACTAGAAAATTACACATTAGTGATGTGTACAACGAAATAAAGATGACTGATATTATTTTCAGTTTTATCAGCGATGACATTACAACTTCATCACGGAACATGTATATAAATGTCACAGCTAAGACTAGTTACAGTAACTAGTAAAACAACACACGTGGTACATAAGACACAAATCACAGAAGCGGTGGACGTTTAAACAATATTCAACATTGTTTACGCGACTGGGTTTTGAAGACTTCAACATCTGGGGAAAGCATGGGATACAATGACAGCTAGGATGCAGCTGGACGATCTAGACTTTGCAGATGATCTAGCTCTTCTGTTGCACACACAACAAAAAATGCAGGAGAAGAAGACCAGTGTAGCAACAGCCTCATCAGCAGTAGGTCTGAATATACACAAAGGGAAAAGCAGGATTCTCCGATACAACACAGAATGCACCAATCCAATCACAATTGACGGAGAAGATTTGGAAGATGTAAAAACCCTTACATATTTGGGCAGCATCATTGATGAACACGGTGGATCTGATGCAGCTGTGAAGGCGCGGATCGGCAAAGCAAGAGCAGCATATTTACAACTGAGGAATATCTGGAACTCAAAGCAACTGTCAACCAACACCAAGGTCAGGATTTTCAATACAAATGTCAAGACAGTTCTACTGTATGGGGTGGAAACGTGGAGAACTACGAAAGCCATCATCCAGAGGACACAAGTGTTTATTAACAGTTGCCTACGCAAAATACTTAGGATCCGTTGACCAGACACTACCAGCAACAACCTACTGTGAGAGAGAACAATCCAGATTCCAGTGGAGGAAGAAATCAGGAAGAAGCGCTGGAAGTGGATAGGATACATATTGAAGAAAGCACCCAACTGCGTCACAAGACAAGCCCTCACTTGGAACCTTCATGGTCAAAGGAGAAGAGGAAGACCAAAGAACACATTACGCCGAGAAATGGGGACAGATATGAGAAGAATGAACACCGACTGGATAGAACTAGAAAGGAAGGCTCAGGACAGAGTGGGATGGAGAATGCTGGTCGGCGGCCTATTCCCCATTGGGAGTAACGGGCGTAAGTAAGTAAGTAGCACGTCAGTACTGCTTCAACCATTTTATTTCGTCTCATGAATTTGTTGAGAATGTGAGCTCAAATGAGTAAACAATATGTTCAAAGTGATATTGGAAACAATTTTCATAGATTATAAAATCTGAAAAAAAAATTATGGACTGAATAAACTGAATAAAATAATCAATAAACAATACACACAAAAATCTTTACATGACACCATACTAGTGCAAAAAATATGATTCCAATCCAGTTGAGAATCCAATCTCTACTTTTTTATTACTCCGATTTAACAGAATAAATGTAGACATGATGCTGGTTCAAATGACAAAGCTTTTTTCCAAAAGGTGTTTGAAATAAACCCCCCAGAAAAGTAAAATACAAATTTGCTAAATGATAACATTCCATAACTATCTTAAACTTTAAATAATTTATTTGTTCACTTGGAATTTCTTATTTTGTTTTGATGAAACGCATGTTAAAGTTTGCGTTTTCCATGAATAACATTGGAGCGTATGTAAATTCAATTCCTTTGATCAATAATTTTATTGAGAAAACATAAATATTGAATGGGAATTCTTTTTTGAGGCAGGTAGATTTTTCAAAGGGAATTATTCTCATTGTATTAATTATTCTTGGAACAACGAAGCATTAAAATTTCAACGACGTGAAGTATAAACACCAAGATTGATTCAAGTGAAGATTTATTAATCCTTAAACATGACAACAAACCTAAACGATAATACACTCGTTATATATTGATTATACACCCATTTCGATTGTTAATTAGAAGTAAATCATATAAAGGGAAACTACTCAGAGTTATAACAAATCACACTCTGCATATCATATTGAGTATAGTTTCCGTCAATTTAATACAAGTATATCGTATATTGACTAGAATAAACATTACACTCCAATAGATTAATGTTATACCAAATGAAATACCATACTGGAAACCAAAACCGAATGCTACATTGAGTAATTATCACAGTGAATTAAAAGGGAAGTAATATTGAATAACAATCACAATGAGTAAAATAATGGAATTTGACTTTCTCATCACATCATATCAATTACAATATTTGGGAGCACTATTTTGGAAAAACTTTATAACTGGGGTAATTTCTGACAAATCTTACCTTTTCATCACCATATAGATTCCATTTCCTCTAGTTCCCAAAATAGTAAATTTGGGTATCATTGAATCACAATTTCTTCAGGGGTATATTATCTTAAAGTTGAAGTTTTTAGTAGTAGATCAAGTTCAGAATTTATTAACATATTGTTCATTCATTAGTATATGAAGTACACTGAGGTGGTAGTTGGAGATAATTGACATGAAACTCTGGACCTAAATTTCATGTTGTTTAACACTCATCAGTAAGGTATACCCATGATGTTGAGGGGACTGATGCTTCCTGGTGGATTCGACCCCATATCAACCACTTTCACAATCAGGTACGTTACCATTGAGCTATTTATGCAGTCAATCTTATGTAGAACTGAGATGTAGTTACAACTGATTGATCACTGAGTAGTAACTAATGTCATGTGAGCCAGGTCCTTTTTAGTGTTGATCAAAATTCTATCAACCAAGTTGCAATCTTACTACTAGTCTAAATGACTCGATATTCCATTTGTTATTCTGAGATGTAAGGTATCAACTGGTAGTACTTGTGGCTCGACTGGCTCAGTGATAACAACTCTGATTGTGAATATGGGTGATATAGGATTGAATCCACCAGAAAGCATCATTCTCCTCAAGATCAATGGTACACATTGCTAACGAATGCCAAACACCACGAAACCTAGGTCTAGAATATCCTGTCGACTACTTCAAACCACCACCTCACATCTATGCATAACAAATGGGATATTAAGTCATTAATACTATTTGTCAGATTGCAACTTGATCGATAGAATCCGATCAACATTAAAAAGGACTTATGATAGATGATATTTGTCAATACTTAGTGACTGGTTAATCATAAATGAGGTGCTTCATATTTGTACTTTATTTATTTTTTATAACTTTAAGTATGAATCACTTAAAGGCTTAATAGTATTTCTTATACAATTCCTAATAGACATTTTCAGACATAATCAATCATATGACGTAATTCATCCATGAACGTCTATTCACATAATGATATGAGAAATTCCAGATTTAAACATTCTTAAGAAAATTATTACCGTTTTATTGTCTAAGAGTCATAGACTCTATTATAGTTAAGTCGGTGCTTACATTTTCGTGACTGAAGTAATCACTTACATAATTTTATTTTATTTTTCATTAATTTTTTTTGTGGTGGTTTTTTGGTCAAAGCCACTTTTTATAATGAATGAATATTAGAAAATAATTAATCCGATTGCATGTTTTCTTCTATCTCAACTTTACCTACAGGCTATAAATTTAAATTAAACTAATATTTCACTCATATGAAGGATATAAAACTACTAGACTGAATAGCCTAAGTGCCGACATACATGATATTAATTAATTAACTGTAGCATGTATATGAATAAGAAGTTGAGAATTCATTTATATCAGAAAGGTGATTTTGTGGATATTATAGTAATTTGATAGTTGAATTCATGAGTCAATTAAAGCTAGACCATTATGGAGAACCTGGAAGCACTGAACGGCTATTTAGTCTTAGTGTGCGACTCCTCAGCTGTGCATATCTAAGATACTGCCCACGGGATTAGAACCCAAGACCTGTCGGTCTCGCTCGCGAACGCTTAACCCCTAGCCAACTGATCGGACAGCCAACGGTGTTAATGTCTAACTTCTACCAATCCACGAAATTGTGCTACTGTCCATTCATTTATATACTAAATTTATTATTTCTGCACTATAGTGTAGTAAGTTATAAAGATGAAATTATACCACTAATTATTGTGACGAATCACTGTTATCATGAATTAGTACGAATAGTAGAAATTGTCAACAAATGAACTGTGTTCTAGACTACATTCTATCTTGCTTACTAATTACAATTCAAAAATATTAGCTTGAGTGATTTAACAATAAAACAACTCCCTAAAATTATCATTTTGATAATATCTACAAGACCAGTTATATGTTATCATTGTTTTACCTAGATTTCTTTAGATCAGTGTTTTAAAACGGAAGATATAAACATTGTTTTACAACTAAAAAAGCTTCACCATGGTAACCCAATAGTTCGGATATATAAAATGTAAACAAACAATGAGTCTCACTATTATTACTTTTAAAAAAAGTAATAAGGATTCAGGTCTTTAGATTTTGATTCCTTTCATTCATGGACAGGTTTTAAGTACCACTCATCTTGTCCACTTTGTATAGATGCAGTTAAATTAAGTTGTTATGTTCCAGGAGACATCATAAATTGAAACAGATTTAAAGTTTTCCATTGGTTGAATAAAAACCACCAATCAAAAGTTAGGAACGAATAAATTTTCTTTTTAAAACTTATTCACTAAATATACAGCATAAACATTTTAAAGAAAACGTGTTAATTTCTTTTGGTACATGAAACAACAATCTAAACAAAAACTAAGAAATTTAGTTTCACACAACACAGCAAATAATATCAATTAGAAATCAGTGGTTCGAACAGCCAATTCACATATCGACATGAAAGCCTTCATTGAACGGTAAGTTAAGTAGATCATTATGATTTTTATAAAATCTGAACCAGAAATACACACTTAACTAAATATGTGCCAGGAAGACTAACAAAAGAGTTAGTATTTATTGAAAGGTTGATCACATCATCCGTTAACTATTGGTAACAAACTGAATAACTAAAATAGAGGGCTAATGACAATTCGGACATTTCAGCAGTAGCTCAATTGATTTTTATGCTGTCTTATCGCCAACATCTTATGGTATGCTTTACATGATTTTAGACATAATTATTAGTCACTTCTTTCCAACTTTGTCTTTTGTGTACAAAGTTTCTGATGGATTAAATGCTTATTTATCAAGCCGAGTTTTCTTTATCACCAGGGTTTTGTTATAGTTGATCAAAATAAGTATTATGACCTGTTGGTGTTGTCACAACAACACTTACAGCTGTGTCTTTTTATACCTCAACACTACTGTGATATAATAATAGAAATTAAGTGACAACAATTCTTATTAATCCCTTTGTCTTACATATAATTACCATGATGTTCACATATTTAATTATCCTTGCTTAAGACATGGAAGTTCGAGCTTACATGTTTATCGTTGCGTGGGTTGTTAACATTTAAAGAGTACTGGATATAAGGGATTCTTCTACACAGCTACATCAGAATCTTAAAAAATGCTTCTCAAATCATTCTTCTTTCTTACCTCAACAATGTTATAAGAATGTCTATAGATGTAAGCTGTTGTAATATAAATACCTTTCAGTTTGTATTGTTTTTCATGGGCAAAATTCAATGGCTAAAGCATATACCTTTGGTAGAAGACAAATAAGTTTTAACAAAGGAAATACTCGTAAGCGATTGAATAATTTACTGAAATAAGTATAATGACGAAAAACTACGGATAAAATTCCAGCACACTATGAGAAGTAATCTATGACAATCTAATTATTGATTATGTAGTACACAATGGATGCATCAATAAGAACACACATTATGCTGTATTGAGTCTGTGTTACTAAGTGTTTAAGGTATTTTGAAATCAATGAGGTGTAATGGACCACTACTGAATGCGTATAACTGATAGAGTTTCTTCGCTCACATAATTTATTGAGACAGTTCGTATTTTGACTTATATTAATATATGCAAAGTAATCGTTTACAGGTTAAGCACTGTATAAATGGTAATCTTTGTAACCAATAGTCGATATTGAAAATTACTGACAAATTACAGATCCATGTCTTAGGAACATTTATGTGTTTTGAGATATTGTTCGCCAATAAAAGTGATCCTACAATTAACATAACAATATACGAAAAGTGCCATTAAATTATTCTGAAATCAATGAACAGTTCAGTTGCTGATTAAATCAGAGTCAATAACAACAATAAATATATTTTTGTTATATTCCAATGAGCAGAAGAATTGTATTTCTGATGTTTCGTAACTCAACGCAAGGCACCTCTTCAGAGTAAATAAATAAATAATAGAAATATATTTATTGTTAACTCTCTACCCAATACTCAATTTATTCCAAACTACTAATAGTTTTACTCTTGTTTCACAACAGACGTATATCACAACATTTAAGTTAGTCTCAAACTTTTCATTAAAATCATCCATCTAGTAATCTGACATCAGTATATTTTACAAGACATAATCGTCAAATGTTTTGTCTGAGGGTTTTAGAAACTGAAGGGAATCAGTAGAAATCCCTATTCTGTTTTAAATGTACACTAACAAAGATAAGTCGTAGTCTTAAATAACATAGAAGCGTTATATATTTTATTCAACGAATCACTCAGTAAATTCGAAAAGATTATTATTACTATGATTATTATGATTAATGGCCTTATTCAATATTATATTTTGGCACAATACATAAGATATTCCGACAAAATCTTTTGCAAAAACGAAAGAGCAACAACAAAAAAGGAAGGAAAAAGATTTGAATCTGTACAACTTTCCAAATTAGAGAGTTGTTTAAGAATACAGGTTATTGACTACTTTAACTCTAACAACCTGTTCGTCATATAGTATATATTTGCTATATATATTTGCTAGATAAGGTATGATGGAACTTTTATACCTTATTATACATTATACCTTATTCCTGATTCACTGTGAAGAAAAAATTGTGTAGAAATCCAAAAAGTGTAAATTGAATGTAGTTATCAAACTTTACAAATGTTAATCTTATTGTAATTTAGGCAAATATGTGGGAATAATATTACACCATACATTTACAGCATAAAGTTAACGGACAATCAGCTAATCTAAAAAAGTACTTTGGTATTTTATATTGTCCAAATAAATTTCAGTATGTTCTTATTGTGTTGATTGTTATGAGATATCAATTTATAATTCTGGATCTAGGTTTTTTATCACTAATTACACGTTGTCAAGGCTTGACTTCAGTTCTGAGGGAACTGATGCCCTCCGTGTTGTCATAATTCAAGTCACCTTGTCATGTTCAGAGAAATTCTCACTAAACAATTCTAGCGATTTGTGTCTTACTGTAGAGCTGAGATATTTAAGATAGCTTTGTTCCATTGATCAGCTTCATATTGATTACTAACTGGTAATCAATCAGATTTTTTCTTAATAGCAGATAGTATTACTGTAGAATCATGATAGTTGTTATCTATTGGTAATGAGTTGTCGGTTTCACACATAAAACATCGAATAGATTAAATTAACATTGAAACTAGAATTGCATCTACAATGATGTTGATACTCTCCTCTTCTTAATAAAATGTCTATTACCTAAAAACTACAAAATAGATCATAAAATTAGTTCAGATTTAATAAAATCTCATATTAACCAAGCAAAGAAGACACTTGTAATACGATAAATAATTTGTTGAACAAGATAAGTATTGATATCTGATCACGAGGCTATTGATCAATATTTGATGATAATTATTGTTAAACGTTAAGTGCTCGCGCGCGAAACCAGTAGGTCTTAGGTTTGAATCTCGCAGGGGGCGAGGTCGTGGATGCACACTGGTGAGGAGTCCCACTATAAGACGAAACGGCCATCCAATGCTTCCACGTTTTCCATGGTGGTCTAGCTTCAACTGACCCATGATCTTAACTATTAAAACGTTAATAGTCTATCTTCAAAAATGTGTTCGTTTAGTAGAATGAAAAGATAAAGTATAAATTTTGGACTAAATCAAAACCGGTTTTCTCATATTTACAATCATTCTTATAAGTATCATCAAAAGCAATAGGAAGTGATATTCGTGATTTATTGGCTATGTTTTGTTTTGATTTCATACATTTTTTTCTAGCTAAAAATTAGGGATAATTATATTTGGCTTCTCTAAGTAAAGAATATGGGATGAAATTATGCTTTGTTACGGGTGAAATTAAAATTAAAGCTTAGAATATAATAGTGATTTAATAAAATTAGAAATGAAAAAACTCCTATTAAGTGAAAACAATAGATTGTATATCATAAAGTGAAAAATTTTGATTATTTTTAGAGATAAAAATACCATTTGAAAGAGTTATCATGATAGTCATCTGAAGAACTAGTGGGAAAATTAAAAGCACTAAGCAGTTGCTCCACATTAGTTTGAAAGTTATCACCAGTTAACATAATCAGTGTTTTTAAAAAAATTGAAAACGAAACTTTCATAGAACTGAACCAGAGACATATACTGACAAACTCAACCTATCAGTGATAAAAGAAGATTCTTATTTAAAGTTGTCAGTGGAATTTAAATGGTTCCTTGAGTGATATTATTCCATGATTAAAATAATTGACATGAAGCAATTTCACCCTGAAGAACTAAATGATTTATAAGTGACATATGAAGTAAATAAAAAAAACACTTTGTGAAAATAATACAATGAATCGACGTTTTTACATATGCATTATTATAATAATATGACGGTATCTCAGAACAAATTTCCACTCGTGGATAGAAGCATTCAGTAGTGATCAATCGATATTCTGGCCCTCAATACAGTGCCATTAATTAGGGAATTTCGTACGTTTAAGAGAAATTCATATTACAGAATGCTTATATAAATTTTATTTTTGAAGATGAGGATAATTAATGACACTAATATAATCTACACTACTTAAAATACTTGAGTGTATTTTCAGTCTTTAAAAAAATCTCTCCAAACGATTCAGGATTAATTATATTTATTAAATTATTAATTTTATGACTGATTAGAAATTTCAACTGATTATTGTTCTCATTAAAAAATCAATTTACTTATTTTTAGGAAAAATTCCAGCACTTAGCAACTGAATAATTTATTACCAGTATTGGATTTTGTGGAGACTAGTAGAATTTTCATAGTTTCAAATCATTAACTGTTCATAGATAAACTACCACTAAAAATCATAAAGTATTGGAGAGCTATTTCTTTCATTGCCTGCATTAGATAACTATTTTAAACCCTATGAGGTTAGACTCAGTTGGTCATGGCTTCTCAATATAACTCCTGGAATCGAGCCTTGAAGCTATTCACTAGTGAACTGATTGAATTTAGACATGCACAGTACTGAATCTCAACCTAGAGGTCAGACGTTAGCACGCAATACTGATGACCCAGGGTTTGGTTCCTCATTCCGAGGCCGTGAATACGCACTACTGAAGAGTCCAATATTAAGACGAGACATCCATGTAAAGCTCTCAAATTTCTAATAGTGGTCTAACTAGAATCAGTTGGTAATTCACAACGACAGATAATTAATCGTTGGCATAATTTATATGATCTATGAAGTATTTATTTTCATCGATAGCACTGAATAATGAGTGACAATGGGAGAAACAATCCAACCCAGACGATTTCAAAATATTCAGTTGTTAACTATTAGGACCATTAAAGATGAATTTATTTTTAAGTTCGAGGTAAACGGCGTTCGCAAATATCTAAATAAGACTGAGCGTAATTAGAATTGCACAGAGCCCGAAAGTAGGAAAAAGTTTGTAATGAACGAAAACACTGGTGAAGATAATCAATGTATTATATAAAAAAATACAGAATATCTTGTTAAAATATGTGAACCGTGCATTGAATACTTCATTTGCTAATTTCTATGCTTTGTCCTTCAAATTCTGTATGATTCTTCCAGTTCATAATTCCTGTCTATTTTCTCTTCTATTCCCTTCAACTTGATCTTCTTACTCTTCTGCTGCCAAGGTTTATACTTTCGTCTGGTTTTACATACTACTTATGTCGACAGATATTAGTAGAATACACTATAGATTAACTTGCAGTCCATGATGTCTACTTCATAAAACTCGACAGCTTTGTAAGAAAAGTGTCGATTATTACAAGCTCGTTCAACCCTCAATATTGTTAGAACTAAAATTTAACCAAGTCAATGTTCAATATTTTCAGGTTTAATTATTGACATTCATAAGTTCACCATAATACAAAATAAAATAATCAAATTCGAGAAAATAATGGATTGGTTACATGTCAGTGATTCATTTAGAACTAATTGAAAGCTTAAATATGAACATCACTCTTGTTCAGGAATGAAAGACTGGTTTATACCAGTTATTTAACAACAAATTAACTAACCTCTATGGGTTTTATTCATTTAAAGACATAAAGGTTGGTACAAAGCGGCACCACTGTACACATGAACCACACAAATCATAAAGTTTGTGCAGGAGCTGATATACTACCTAAGTGCCCAAAGCAATGCAGTTCGTTTTCTTAGGTGGCTAATCCCCGAAGCTTTGACGTAAGGATCTAATCCATAAGGGACTGGAAGTACGGTCCTATGGTACCCAGCGATTAAGAATCGGTACTATTTCATTCTGTAATTTGTTTCTAAATTGAAAATCTCATGAAGTTACATATATATGTCTTACAGATACAAATCGCCCTTATTTTAATAATAATATGTCTCAACATAAATGAAATTAACTCAACACAAACAAAGTTTATTAATCATAAAAAGAAAAAAGACAATTTTGACTTCATTAGACAAAGTTACGAATTAAATTAAATAAAGGTCGCAACCCTGACAATTCAAATCCTATCAGCCAATTCACTTTCATGTGTATTAGTAACCAGTCGAAAATTATTCAATAAAGTATGAATGACAAGAAATTCTTAATTTATTTAAAGAAATTTCTAGACGTCTCTTGAATGAAACGAAGTGATTTACAAATCTCAAGCAAATTCTAAACAACATCTTGGTGATGTAGTGAAATTCATCTCATTTGTTAAACACATTTCCATCAATGAAACAAATGAGTAATCTTTTTTAAAAAAATACCCGATATAATGGTTATTAGTTTAACATCTAATTACTTAGTAAAAATGTAATCATTTGTGATGACGATCAGTTTTAAAAATGTAGTGATTGGTTCAAGTACTGTCAAAATATGCGTTTAATACATTAAGGTGCATACTTTTACATCTATGTACAGCATATCATCATCATCCATCAAAATTAACGGTACGCTCACTTGATTTATAAAACATGATATGAAAAATTCGATAATTTGGAGGAAATGTATTATGGAACCGAAATAAAACTCGTCTCTGTTCGTAATAACATAAATCATTACAAAGTAACATTACATGTGATCAAATAATTTATTGGAACAATAAAACTTGTAGTTTAAAAGAAAATAAAAGAAACTAGAAACTGTAATAGACAATATTTATGACCGTCAAATATTATTTTTAAAGAGAGCAACAACGAAGATTGATGCAGAATAAAATGAATAAAGGGAACTATGTATATGAAATATCAGTTTATTCATTTTAGGGAAGTAACAGCGTTCCATATGAAAAATGTTATTCATTTAATAAGAAGCATTTTTAAAAATAATAGTTTACTTATATATATGTGTATGTATGTGAGGAATTCTTGCTTCCGAAATAGTCTCACAAACATTGGCTCTCCAAACTGTATATATATAGTTTTACAGTATACCGAACGTTTTTCAAGAAAGCTAGAAGTGATTGTCAGAACTTATTAAGTAACATAAATCATGAATGATATAGTCTGAACTAGAAAATTGGAATAAGTCTATTTCCCGGATTGCCAAGATTAAATAATACATTTTCTTTTTAGATAATTAAGTTGAAAAGTTATGAAAATGATCATTTCCTGTTTATGAAATGTGACAAAATTCCTAATAAACGAAGGTTATCATTACGAAGATTTTGTATTACAGTGTCGGTAATTAATCCTAAGTTATTCCAAATGTACTCTGATAATCATAATCTTATACTGTAGTGAACGAAAACACGGGTGAGGACAACCAATACAAAATTACAGAAAAACTTAGTAAAATTTGAGAACTATATTGTACATACTTCATTTGCAAAATGTTAATCAATTGTCTCAGACTTGATTATTCTTCCGTTTCCAAACCAATCACTCTCTGTTCTCGTTCTCTTCTTTTCGACTTTCTTAACCTTTTTCCGCCAGGCATTTCACATTCAATTGATGATACATACTACTTATATCTATCAACATCAGTAGCACACACATGATATTATTGAGTATATTCACATAAATCTTGAAAAACGCATTTAATACCCATCAGGACTATAAATTCCGAAATTTCATATAGATTGTTTTGCTTAAAGTGAAAACGAAATTTGTTTCCACATTATTCGCTATTACAAACATTAATGTATCATGCATAAATTTAAAATATAATATTCTACTTTGGATTATAGCAGGTTTAGTCAATGTATGCCGTTAAGACATGTGAAGTTACTGTCATAAAAGAAGTTCACACATAGCAAAATCACACCATAATTATACTATTATATCGTTGATAATAATAGTTGGCTCTTGATACTAAATTAAACTATGAAAAAGATATATTCATTAATTATATTTTGAAGTAATAAATGTTTGAAATTTTACCGTCAAAATATTTTTTCCCGTTTTATTTCAGCAAAGAAAGTTCTTCGGATTTGCTGAGCAGATACAAAGCAAGAAAAATGTTAGGAGTTGGTGAATCGTCTGGTAATGTCGTTTCTTCAAAGGTAAGCATGTTAACTGATATCATTGGTATTAACAAAATAAAAAACCTGTACACTACTGCTTACTATGAAGTGGCTTTGTTTAGATAATTAGTGATTCTCATACAAAACTATAAACGTGCTTCATTTGATCAAATAAAACCTTGGCAATTCTTGATCTTAACACAAAATGAGATCAGACCTGCATCACTATAGTTGGGCGATTTGTACTTCGGGATGTAACCCTTGGTTTAGCACCATAATAGCCACTTTTATCACTAAAACTGTAAGGTTTTCCAATGTAAGCATACATCTTTACTGCAAGTATAGTGTTTCGTGCAGTTATTTCGCCTTACAAGTTTAGGCAGATCGAGAATAAAAATATTTGTAGGATAGGGTGGATTAACTGTACATTATGTTTTACTTCCAGCTACATAAAAGCTGATTACTGTGGCTAGTTCAAAATATTGATATGAAACTTATAAGTAATAAGTTGTTCTGAAAGTAAGCTTCTAACGATTACGATTTTATTAGTTTGAAATTGGTTTTACAAAACTGATAATCTTACAAAGACTCTGTTGTTATGAAACAGGATGGTTGTAAATTAGTCTTTCAAAAGTAATTTCTAAAAATAGTATAAAACTAAATAATCAATTAACTTCTTCAGATGGTAAACAAAGACAGATGTTCACTTTAGATAAGTAATTCAGTTGGACAGTAATTATGCATTCAAGTGTCTGAATAACAGTTTATTTGTTCATGAACATAAAACTACTCACTGATCAAACAATTATATTTTTTATGTGAGTATACAGGATATTTTCCATAATAATGTAGTGTCGGTTATTGTGTTAAGCCCATATACCTTATTCTTGCTTTCGCACAAGCCAATCTATTCATTCTACTTGAGTTATATTTTGACCTTGTTGATTATTCCCTTATCAGTCTTGACTGTTATTATATGAGTGCATATGTGTGTACAATTCTTATCCCATTTATCACATGTCTGTAACTTATTATTGTGTGACTATAAATATTGATCAACACTTGACAAAAAGGAGTTGGCTAACATACCATTCCCACGGCGCATCGCTTCGCTTCATGTACAAAATATATATATTCAAAAGTCCGTTCTCGTTATTTGACTTATTTAATTCCGTTACTGACTAACGCGATTTAAGTCGATGATTATATACGAGGATAGGCGATAACAAACATTCATACGATCTACTTGGAGTCAGATCTCGGATCACTAAAGTGATGAGCCCATCGAAAATATTGTCCAATCTAAATGACGACAAAATAAAGGGCCCCACTAAAGTAATAAATGTTTGCTTTAAGATTCACTTCATATTCATATTCACTTAAGAAATATTAAAAAAAACTAATTTCAGATTATTCATAAAGTTTTGAAGATTGTTTCTACGCTTTTCATAATCATTAAATATAGTTGACCTATTACATATTTGACTAAATCGTACAATATTTGCACATCGATTACATTAACCATGATAGTTGCTATAGGTGATTCTGTTTGAAAAATCTTTAATTAAATTAATAGTTTATTGTTAAAAATATTTTTATTACATAATGATCTCAATTTCTTTCTTAAGTTAAAGATGATATTTTTGGACTGTTGTGTTTAATAAGGCAAAGTAGATTAAAAATATGAAAATAAAAGGAAGGATCATTTTTAGGATCATAACACATTTAGTAATGATTTTCATTGATCTTATATTACATATATTTCTGGGTGATATTAATGATTCACTTAAGAAGTAATTGCGAATTCAATTTCCGTTAAACATTCGATTTTCGTATAATTTCGAACCTTTTGAGCAAATAAATTTTTTTCTTTCATTTTTCAATATCTTGTCACTTAATTTACACAATTTTTTTAAAACAAAGTAATTTCGGCGAGGCTCTAATTTATGGATGATCTTTGAAAGAGTCTCAAGTGACCTTGAGAAATATTAGCCAATCAGCAAACAGTCAGTATAGAGTAAAAATATGTTATACAAAACCAAGGAAATAAAGTGGATACATTTCTTATACGTGGTTCAAAAACTTATCAAGGTTAGAAAAAGGTTAAGAGGTTCTAAAATCGTAATGCATGTAGTAGAGGAAATCATCCATACGGCTACAGAGCCATGATAAAGTCTCAAATATTCTTTCAGCGTCGACCACATAGCTTCAATATTGTTTATGTGCACTCTGATTGTTGAGTGAACAAAATGCTACTTGTGGATAACGACACGATGCACATAACCAAGCTTATGTAGGAGTTTGTACGCTCTCCAAACATCCGTATGTATTGTAGTACCTGGCTGCAGCCAGTGTTACTGGTGCTTGTACTATCCACTTCACAATAATTGTCGTAATTTGCCTTAGTTAGGAATTATATATTGGGTTTTCATCACGGACTGACATCAGCTATAATTCCAGAAATTTATTTAGCCAAATGGATGAAAGGCTTTCGCGTTAAAATTCGAGATTTATTATCCCATACCTGACTGATTCGTCCACAAATTATAGTCCCGCCGTTTTATTTGTTAAAGCCGCTGAATTATCATGTTTTTTACAAAATTCCCTGTGAACCATACGTGCGTTAGCATTAAGCATTGAATTTGGTGCCATAATCTTGAAATCCTTAAAACGCCTCTGACTGGCTCGTCCATAAATTAGAGTCTCGCCGTAGTTTCTTTTCTTGTTTTTATTTAGTAAAATGTAGCTAATGATCTGTTTTAAAACAAAATGGAAAGAAACCTGCAAAATACATTTGTATTAGTTGTTTGAATCATTTCATTAATGTTTCAGACTGTAATTAACCGATCTTAACAAATTAATTTTCAATTCATTCCTTTGAAATGAAAAGACGAATACTAAATTGTTTTTAGAAACTAAAGCTCTATCATGTTACTTACATATATTGGAGGTTTGCTATTTACTAATTAATGAGTTTAATCATTTAGCATTGTCTTGATATTGATATTTGACGTAACAAATCCATCTATAAGCTAAACCTAATATTTAGAAAGCGTATAATACTATCTAGATGTTTAAATACAGTAAATGAACTCTGCTTATAATAATGACAGTGAATATGAGAGTAGAAGAACAAGTCATTGAAACAGCTTTTTTTTTCATGGTCATCATAATCTTTATTCATACAAATCCCACCACTCTAGTAGACATTATCTTATACCATAGGATTTCCAAACCAAAAGCCTAAAGAATTCATCTCAAGGATAGGATTTTGCAAGAATGAATAATTATATATAAACTAGAGTAATGAAGATAGTTTTGAAGTAATCCATTTTAATTATGTATTTGATATATACCCTAATCAACATTTATTTACATCATAAAATGCTGGACTCAATCAATGTAGAAATTAATCATTAATTATTTATGTCCTGTTTGTATTTCTGTCATAAATTTACGAAACATTTTAAGCAAGCAAATATATATGTGTGTAAAAATGGATTGATTTATGTTGATTGATAGTAAAATATTTCTTGTTCTTGTTTTTCTTTATATTTTGTATGAAAACTATTAATTGAAACTTGTTAGTGCGGAAACAATTTGTTCAGTTAATTAGAAATTATTCTTTATAATGCTTAAATATTAAGTATGACAGTATTCCCTTAGTGTTTCATCGACAAAAAGATTATGTTTACTATTGCATATTTATAAACGTTTACTTATTTAAGAATTATTGTTCAGTGCTTCCAGGTTTTCCATGGTGGTCTAGCTTCAACTGACTCATGATCTTAACCATTGAAATTACTATAATATCCACAAAACCCATATGAAATTATTGTTAAATTAAAAAAAAACCCTCACTAACCTGAAAGGCTAAAGTGTTGTTCTCATAAGAGTGAAATGATACCCTAAATAGCCATTTTGAAAAACATCAATCAAACTAACAGATAAAACTAATGATTGTTTGGATTAAATTATTTTCTGTATATTATCAAGTCAAGCACTTTATTATTCATCAGACTGGTTCATGGAATTATGACATTTGGAAAATCAATCAATGAAGTATGTGACAAAAGCAGTATTAACGAGAAAAAAGCTTATAGTTCTCAACAAAGACCCGAATCAGTACATCAAAACAGATTCACAGTCTAAAAAATAGTCATCAATAAAGTAGTTGGGAACTTCGTAAAGGCAGTGAGCTTGCTGACCTTAAGCCTTCTAAATTTTTTCTCTGTATATAAGAGCATCATTTCCACTGGGATTTTATCTGAAGCTAGTTATATATGTCTCGCTCCATTATAACATATTCCAAATTGTTGAATGGACAAACAAATAAGTGTAAAAACCAGAGCTTGGAGTGAATTCCTTAGTGTAAATTATCCTCTTACATTCAACACTCATTAAATGAAGGTAAAAAAAAGACAAAAATGCCTGATACTACGCACATTTCGAACAATGAAAACCTAACATGGTATAAATTAACGAACATGTATCTCATCTTTTAATAACAACTCAATGTTTTCGAAAAAGAACTAACACCAGCTTTACGTAAAAATAAATATAAGCAACTCATGATTGATGTTAACAGAAATAAGCTAATAAAGTATAAAAAGTGAGCCAAACACGATTCATTGTAATTTCATATCTTGATTTTAACATATTTTCGCCATCAGGTAACATCACTTGTTTGTGTAAATTTAATAGAACATAGGAAAATATTTTTTATACGTTTAAAGCATCAAGCAGCTGATAAACAATCCCTAACTTTTTATATGATTCAAACTTTTTTCTTGTAGGAATTACTTTTGTAACAGAACATTGAACAAACTGAAACATGACCATTGTTCATAGAATATTTAAATATCATTTTTAAAAGTGACTGATGCCAAGTCATAGAGTTTAGCCTTATAACTTGTTGCCACTTAACTTATTTAAACTAAACAGATACATTTGTCACTAAATAACCATCAAAGTTTTATACAATTTTTCTCATGGAAAAATTTACATAGAGCAAGAACAACAAACGTTTATTATTCTTG